GAAGTCTTTGGAGATTCTAAATTGATAATCAACCAACTTTTAGCTGAATATGAAGTCCGTAATTCAGACTTGAAGCCATATCATGAACATGCAGCAGTGCTTATGAGACGATTTGATTCGATAAAAATCAAATTCGTCCCGAGAAGTGAAAATAAGAAAGCTGATTCCTTAGCTAATTTGACTGCTGTTTTAGCTAGATCAGATGAAGAATTTTCCCACTCCATATCAATTGCTCAAAGATGAGTGCTTCCATCATTGCTACCCAGTAATTTGGAAGAAAATAATAGTGTCAAAGTAGTCGAAGATGAGGAAAGAGAAGATTGGAGATAGCCAATAATCGATTTCCTTCAACATCAAAAGCTACCAGATAATTCAAGGCGAAAAACAGAAATTAAGAGGCGTGCCTCTCGCTTTATCTTTTATAAGGGAACACTTTATCGACGATCATTTGATGGAGTTTTCCTTTGATGCCTAAGTAATGATGAAACAATGCAGGTCGTGGAAGAAGCCCACTCTGGAATTTGTGGTGCCCACCAGTCTGGACCCAAACTCCATTTTCAAATAAAGAGGATGAGATATTACTGGCCAACTATGGTACAAGACTCCATAGATTATGCAAGAAAATGTGAAGCTTACCAAATCCATGCAAATTTCATCCATCAACCTTCGGAACCATTACATCCAACAATAGCTTTATGACCGTTTGATGCATGGGGTCTTGATGTAATTGGACCTATAACTCCAAATTCTTCAGCAGGGCATGCTTACATCCTCGTTGGGACTGACTACTTCTCTAAGTGGGCCGAAGCCATACCATTGAAGAAAGTAAAGAAAGAAAATGTCGTAGATTTCATTCGTATCCAAATCATTTATAGATATGGTGTCTCGTGACACATCATAACTGATAATGGCAAGCCATTTTGCAATAGCCACATAAACAATTTATGTGTAAAGTTTGGATTCAAACAGTACAACTCGTCCTTGTACATTGCGGCAGCTAACGAATTGGCAGAGGCATTCAACAAAACACTATGCAGTCTACTGAAAAACGTTGTCTCCAAATCAAAAAGAGATTGGCATGAGAAAATTAGTGAAGTCTTATGGGCTTATCGAACTAATTATCGAACTCCAATACAAGCCACTTCTTATGCCTTAGTATATAGGGTAAAAGCTGTCCTTCCCATGGAGTGTCAAATTCCGTCACTTCGAATTGCTATCTAGGAAGGTTTGACAACTGAAGAAAATGCCCGCTTTCGATTGGAAGAGCTAGAAGCTTTGGATAAGAAGATGTTAGAAGCACAAATGCATCTAGAGTGCTATCAAAGTCGACTGACCAAGTCTTTCAACAAAAAGGTGTGACCAAGATCATTTAAAGTTGGAGATCTGGTACTTTCCGTGCGCATGCCAATCATAATCACAAGAAAAACAGGGGGCAAGTTCCAACCTAAATGGGATGGTCCATTTCTTATTACTCAAGCATTCACTAACGAAGCGTACAAGATCGTCAACAAAGATGGATTGCAAATCGGACCTATCAATGGAAAATTTTTAAAGCGTTTTTACGCGTAAAGTTCTTTATTTTTGAATTTTTCATTGTACAAAAAAAATTGTATTCTTGTAATGAACTACGTTCGACTTGATCCCGTTTGGGTACGTAAGCAGTTTGAATAAATTATAAATTCAAGTTCAGTCACAACTAATAAATTCATTCAATTTGTTTATCAATTGTTGTAAAAAAAAACACAAGAAACATGAAAAAGAAAAGTTCATCCAAATAATAATAGTAAGTCAAAATTCAAACAATATGGTCTTAGAAAAAAAAGATCAAAAATTCATGACTTCATCAGGATCATTTGCTATTGATCACTCGCAGGAAACTATCTTCAAGGGTCTTCCTTTTCTGCTTAATAGATGCTATGCTAGCGACATCTCTTGTCTGTGCTTCTTCCAATGCTGTCTTCTTAGTTCCAATCATACTTTTGTGTTCTTCTTGGGCTTGAAGTTCATCACGAAGTCTATCTAGCTCAAATGTTAACTCACTAATTTTGCCTCTCAACAAAAAATACGTGGAATCCTTTACTTCCAGCTGAATGTTCAAAAGTTTCAACTCCTCCACCTTTTCTTCAACGGTTGAACAATCCAAGTGCTGCTTTCTTTCAGACAAGTAAGAGTCAATTTTTTTCAGATACACATCCATGCGTTTCATCAAAGGTGCTAGGTCTACGTGGAATGAGTTGGTAATCACATTCTGAAGAATTAAATTATTTTCATCCCACCAAGATCGAATATTGGAGAATCCATACTTTAAGACATCCTTAAAACATTTCTGGAGGTAATTATTCATAACTTCTTGCAGAGCAGCCTTCAGATAAGGAGATTCTTGGGTAATTCCAGGTGGAGGACCAGACATGAAAGAACAGATTCATGCAGCCCGATGATTATTTGTTTGTGAAGGCGGAATACTGACTAAAGCTAATGAAGATGGAATGACAGGAACTCCTTGATTTATCTCTGAAATGTTAGCTCTCACAGTCCCTGAATTTACTTCATCTTCAGCATTAAAATTGTCCATGATATGCACCAAAGTACCTCCATTGATGGTGCCTGGATATTTGCAAAGAAGGTCGTGAGAATCATGAATACCATCTATTTCTTAAAGTGCATCAATTCACCCGTCATTCTCGCCGGTCTGATCTTGCAAAAAGTTTGGATTCATTGAGAAATTTAGTTCTTCAGGGACGCTCGGAAAACTACAAGAAATGGAGCATGGTTTCAAAAAAAAAGAAAGGAAAAAGTGCAGCAAACAATAACAGGGCACATACATGCATTTCGTGTCCTGGGTGACATGTCTAAAAATCTACCATCTGATGATGTGTTCGGGAGGCTAAGGTTAATGTGAGAAGCTCCAACTTCACCTTTTGGAAAACTCGAAATAGCTTGAAGCGGCCTCGGTTCTATTGGTCGTTTGATTTTGTATATTCGATAAAGAGAAGCCTGAAATTAAAGACTGTGACAGAAAATCAGATACAAACAGTACATAAAAAAAAGGGAGAACTATACTGATCTCCAGAACTTTCATCTTCTGGAGTTAAAGTCTTTCCTGGTAATTGTGATGCTCAATCTCTAGGACTACTGTGATCTGGAATCAAAATTACTTTTGGCACCTTATCAGTACGCTCAAAGGTAGCAGCAACCTTTGTCGAGGGAACTATAATTTTGATTCTCTTAATACCTCTTTCATTTTGCTGGTTTAGATCTCTCTTTCGAAAAGCCTCTTCAGGAGCAGCATTTGGAGGGTTTAACCCTGTAGCTAAAACCCTGTTCGGAGCCGAGCCAAGAACAAAGTCACGGCTCTCATTAGAAAATAAGACTTGCACCTAGACCTTGGTCAAGAGTGGTAACACTTTGCTATTCCACCAAGCCTGGTATTCAACATCAATGTTTTGATGTATATCCCTCACATACTCTGGAATATGAAGTACAGACCCACTTTTTATCCGAGTTAAGGACAACCAAACTCGATACATGTCACCTACACTGGGGGCAATATTCAACTTTCTTGGTGAACCGGGAAGTTTCTGTCTGAAGGGAAGTTTCTGTCTGAAGCCAAACTGTCGCAAACCTGTGAGGATTATATGCCTCAAGAATAAAAGGTGAATTTCCTCGACGATAAAAAACAAATCCAGATCGAATACTCATCATGAATTCTGAAGTATCCGCAGACCTCGATTGATCATCCATACGTACATCAGGATGAGACGATGAGGGTAATGAATTTCAACAAAAGTTACCGGTGTTCATCGCTCCATGGATAAATTCTCGACAATCAACGGCATTTTTCTCCCAAGATTGAAAAGCATTCAGAGTTCTGGCATATCTTCAAATTATAGGGAGAGAATAACTCTTGTCTACATGAGCATAAACATCTCGGACAAAATAAGTTGCTGCCCAATCATAAAGAAAATGTCCAGGAAATGAATGTGAAATTGAGCCAAGGTCTGGATTTACTTGATAGTTAGATGTTCGTGTAAGTCCACTATAAATGCTTGCCAATATGGGTTAAACCAAACTATAAGTGTATTCGTCTGCCATCCTAGAAGATACTTTAAAAGTCCCGACTCTTATACTTCCGTTCCCAGACGGAAGAACGAAGCGATAAAGCCATAGGGAGAGATAGGCTGCTATCTCTAATTCATCTTCTTCTTCCATAGACAGAGCTACTAGAAAATTGCCCCAATAACGTCGATCCCTACGAGTAATGTCTCTCTGCTTGTCTGCCACCATGGGCCTCCGTATTTCCTTTGATGTTCTTTGATGGCGCCTTTTGAATGGATTTAAATTCATAGCATTCTTATAATTTTTGTGTTGTCGAGGGTTCGGGACACAACCATTCTCATAAAACCAAAAATTAATCCACTGTTCGTGAGTAACTCTGTCAGATTCATTCGTATGGGCAATCAATGTGAAAACGTTAAAGAGATACAAACAAGACTTGGGAAGATGATCCGTCAACTCTGAAAGGCTTGGGACTACTTCCTCATAATAATGACCCATGATCAAAAGTCCACTTATCTCGCAGATGTCCCAAAGAGAAATGTCAATTTCACCATTGGCAGTCACAAAGGTGTTGGTTTCTGGACGCCAAACCTCACAAAGAGTTCTGTAAATGGAGTTTGGGCGATGGTAATCTTTTGCAGCAAAACCGACTGCAAAAGCTAACTCGCGGAGATTCCTCTTGAGCAGAAGTTTCTGGACCCACAAAGACCACTCCCAGAATTTTGGAAGAAAAGAAATCTCTCCTCGACTTACCAGTGCGCTTCCCCATTGTATTTCTCTATTATCAATTTTCTCACAAATCACAGCCCTTGGAATATACTCCATGCTCTGGGAATGATGAGGCGGAAGACACAAAAAGGGAAGATGACTGCCAGAGCGATTGGACTTGCCAGTATCCAAACTCTCGTGACATTCACTAATGGTGGACATATGCAACTCCGACAATGGCTCCAGAAGGTCAGGGGAAGGGTCTGTCGTTGGCTTATGGACACTAAATTTAAGTTTCCTCGTACGCCGGTCTGGACATGGTACTTCACATCAGTATCTTTGAAACGTAGATAACTTTTGCCTTAATCTTTAAGCTCAACAATTTCGTGCATGTCAGAGCACATTTTATCATCAGAACTTGTTCCGGCCATACCTGAAAAAAAAGTCAGCTAAAAAAAAGGGAGGGCAGTAAATCTCTCAAATTGGTTTATTGTTTAAAATCCCGAGTTTTCAAAATATGTAAGCAGCCTCTATAAAAAGTGTCTTAGACGATGGAAGGAACAAGTCCTTGGTCTTCAACACAAAGTGTCTTGAACAGTTGAAGGAGCTAATCATTGGTCTTCAACACCAAGTGTCTTGGACGATGGAAGGAACGGGTCTTTGGTCCCTAACACAAAGTGTCTCGGACGATGGAAGGAACAAGTCCTTGGTCCTCAACACAAAGTGTCTTGGACAGTTGAAGGGGTCAGTCCTTGGTCCTCAATACAAAGTGTCTTGGACAGTTGAAGGAGCCAGTCCTTGGTCCTTAACACAAGGTGCCTTGGACGATGGAAGGAACATGTCCTTCGTCCTCAACACAAAGTGTCTCAGACAGTTGAAGGAGAAGTCCTTGATCCTTAACACAAAGTGCATTGGACGATGAAAGGAACAGCTCCTTAGTTGTCAACACAAAGTGTCTTGAACAGTTGAAGGAGCCAGTCATTGGTCCTTAACACAAAGTGCCTTGGACGATGGAAGAAGCAGGTCCTTGGTCCTCAACAAAAAGTACATTGGATGGCGAAAAGTGACAGTCATTTGTCCTCAATGTATATGAAGGTTTGCGATTTTAAGTTTGTTCATAATCATATATTTCCTGAACTCATAAAAAAATTGCAAAAAAAATAAAATTTAACCTCTATACGAAGAAAATTTTGAACCTCAAAATCCTTGATTTGCTCCAAAAAGTTGAATCCCTGAAAAAAAAAATTGTAATTTCAATTTTGTTAAAAAAAATAACCACACCAAATTAATCAACAAATAAAAAAAAGTGGATTAAAATAAAAAGAAAATAAAGAAGAAAAGTTACATGCATATAAAATCAAAAAACAAAAAACAAAAAAAAAAGAAGAAAAAAAAAAGTCAAAACAAAACAAAAGGTCAAAAAAAAGGGATTACATGTAAAAGATTTAAATAAACTGAAAAAAAGGGTTTCTGCTGTTTCAATTGGCAGTGGCTGGTTTCCTCCATCCAAGAAACAAAAAGAGTTAAATCAAATCCAATTAGAATTGTTAATTGGTTTCTAACTTCAGTACATTTGGTTTCCGTTGCCTTAAGAAACTAAAAAAATAAGTCAAAGAAAACCAATTTGAATTGTTGATTGGTTTTTGACTTACTACACATTGCAAAAAGCAATTGGTATATGTTTTTTTTTTTCGATTTTCACATTTCTGCCATGGTGAAAACAAAGAAAAAAAATATTATATTAAAAAGAGAGAGAGAGAGAGAGAGAGACCAAAACGAGAGAGAAAAAAATAAAAAATTCTTTACCTCTATTTGCTCTATTTGGAAGATTTAATGTGTTTGCTTTCAAATCTCATAACGCATTCATATAAATAGGTAAGTATCGAACTTCATTTAAGCCCAACTTGTCATGAAACATAAAAGCCCTGTCCAAATCAAATTTATTATGGGTCGTATAAAATTAATAAATAAATAATCTAAATACGACCAAAAAAAAGAAAAAAAAAATTCTTATTCTCAAATTTGAAAGATGAAATTTTTATCAAATTCATATCTTATTCTCAAAATTTCCGTCTGTATTAATTTACTAACAAGAAATTTGAGTTCAAATCAAATCCTAAATTAAAAAATAAAATAAAATCAAGAAATTCAAAAAAATCAAGATTTATTAATTTATTTATTTCATAATAAATAAATAAATCTTGAGGGGGCATTTGTAGACATGAAAATAAAAATAAAAAAATAAATAAGTAAATAAAATAAAATGGATTGGATTGGGTCGATTTAAATGATTAGCCCAATTAAATTGAAATCTACTAAGGTCCATATATTCAAAGGCGCATATCACATTTTAAATAAATAAACAAACAAATAAATAAAACTATAATTACACAATTATCTCTTTTAATTAAATATAATTGAGTAATTACCAAAATTAGTCCGAATCCTCCCCTATAAATAAGACAAATGGTCCATAAGACGGGACACACAGAAAACTAGCAAGAAAGAAAGCAGAGAATGCCACGAAGTGCTGAAGAAATCTCGAGGCTGAAAGAAGGAAAGAAATTCTGTCAAGCCTTAGCTCGGTGAACCCCAAGAAGATTAAAATCTTCTCCGAATCAAACAGGTTCACGCCAAGTCCAAGAAGATCAAAGTCTTCTTCAAATTAAATCAAATTCAAGTCCAAATCCAAGCATCAAGATTCAAGTTCCAAATAAGTCAAATCTCGACAAATCAAATTTTCAACAAATTCTTGAAGATCAAGATTTAAGCCACGTGACCCCTCGTCTTCAAATATTCAGATCATTAATCAAAGGATTTTACAATTTTACAATTACAAGAAAGTCAACATCACTTGTATTTATCAAAATACAATTTGTAACGATTTCTGTATTTTAATACACGAAATTCCGTCGTACAACATGCTCTGACTACAGCCTTAATGAGGTGAAATATCGTGTATTTACCAGTAAATATGCATCAAGGAAATTGCAATAGATCGGATATTGATACCAAGATGAAAGAACTGCATCAATCTTTCTCTAAAGTATATTTCCATTTTCTTGAGGATCTTGATTGCATCATTGGAAACAGAGCCGGCCCTGAGGCCAAACGACCAAGGCAAACGCCTAGGGCCTCAGTTGGGTCTAGGGCCTCAAATTTTGGATGGTCTCTGAACAATGGCAAAAAATATGGTGAATGGTGAAGAAGGCAGGAAGGTTTTTGGCTTTCTGTTGATTCTCTCCCTAACAACTAACAAGTAGCGCCAAAGCTAGCACCATTATTGTAGCTAGGAGAAGATCATTGCTTTTGGAATTGTCAATTATTGCAGCCAATATAGGAGTGCATTTGTATTTTGTGTGTCTGTATGAGATACAGAAAGAAGAAGAAGTTAGGGTACGTTTGATTGCAAGTATGAAATTTGCATGGGAAGAAAATAAATTCTAGGTAATTCAATTGCCCAGAATTTATTTGTATGAAAATTGTCAATTAAATGTGTTTGATTGATTTAATTTTCAACCTAGAAAATATTATACTTGTCCATTTTTATTGGTGGATTAATGAGAGAGAGTGGATAAATAAGAAAGAGAAAGAGAGAATGAATTCCGTGAAAAATAAAATTCTACTCTTCCTAAAGAAAATATTTTCCTTGATTTTAAAGAAAATATGGTCACAAAAGTGAGAATATCTTTTTCATGAAAAAAATGGCAATCAAACAATACAAAAGTAAGAATTTGGGTAGAAAAAATACATTTTTCATGAAAAAATAGGCAATCAAACACACTCTTAGAGAGAGCGGGGGAGGGGGGGAGTGAGAGAGAGAGAAGTGGAAAACCTGCCAAATCAATTTTCTCAATTTGTCAGATAGATTCTCACGTGCTTAAGACTTAGGAGCTCTTACCAATGCCATATTTACTAACATAGCACGCCACTTAGTATGAGTAGAGTGAAAGGAGGTTGGGTGGGAGAGTTTTAGGTGTTGGTTTGCACTTTGCCAAGTGGATGGGCCCTCGTGATACATAGTCGCCTAGGGCCTCAAATTTTTTAGGGCCGACTTTGATTGGAAAAGCACAATAAATGTGGAGTTTCATTCATTTTTCAGTGTTATGGAAGATGAGATCTTGTTCTTCACCTAAGCTGATATTTCCTTTCTAATTTAGATGTTATTCTCTTGTATATTTTGGCCTCAAATTTGTAATGATATGGACGTGTTCAAATTGTTAACTCATAAGCATGTGTGAATTTTATATCTCATGTATTTCTATCCCATTCTTTAGAAATTTGAACTCAATACTTCTAATTGAATAACATTAACCTATAATCAAAGTCAACAAATTAGTATTCTTTATGATTTGAACTGCCTTTCAACTGAAAACTAATTTCTCCATTCCAGTTCCAATTCTCCACAAGATGAAGTCTTTCTGCGCGTATTCTCTCAGTTCACAATTTGTTTTTAATATTCATAAACCTTCTTCAGAGATTGATAAGAACGGAAGTGACCACTTCATATTGCAGTCTGCCTTTCCCAGTAAGCACACTTTCTCAAACGTATTGCTTTCACTGCGTACAAGCATTGAGAACAGAAACCCTATTCTGGGTTCCAGTCTTCACGCCAAAATACTCAAGTTAGGACTTGATGCTGATGTGTTCATCAGCAACTCTCTCTTAAACATGTATGTTAAGTGTGGCCAGATAAAAGATGCTACAAAACTATTCGACCATATGCCTTACAGAACTGCTGTCTCGTGGACTTGTGTAATCTCGGGTTATTGCCAGAACGAATCGGTAGATGAGTCGATATTGTTGTTTTCGAGGATGTTGGACACTATGCAGCCTAATGAATTCACATTGGCAGTACTTTTTCAGGCTTGTGCGGTTAAGGGTGATGAAAAATTGGTTGAAGTTATTCACAGTTACGCAATAAAATATGGGCTTATTGCAGATGATTACTTACAGAATTCGTTAATTGACGCATATGCTAAATCTGGGATGTTGGGGGCTGCAGATAGGCTTTTAGATAGACTTCGCAGCAGAGATGTGGTTTCTTGGACTTCTGTAATTTCAGGCTGTGTATATAATGGAATGCTTAAGAGAGCAACTATAATGTTTTTCAAGATGCAAGAAGATGGGGTCCTTCCAAATGAAGTAACAATGCTGAGTATGCTACAAGCCTGCTCTGAAATTAACACTTGGGAGATGTTTAGCTGGATTCACGGATTGGTTATGAAACAAAATTGGTGTAAAAATGCTGTGGTGCTGAATTCTCTGATAGAAATGTATTCTATCAATGGGTACTTCAATGAAGGCACGAGAATCTTTCGTGATATGTGTTTTATCGGTGAAGGTTTATATCCAAGTACGGAGACTATGGCAAACCTTCTTCAGGGGTGTGCAAATTCCGGCTCGTTGAAGCTTGGGAAAGAAATTCATGGATACTTAATCAAACAAGGGTTTCTCCCTTACACTGTTATTGGAAATTCGCTTATAAACATGTATGCAGAGAACAAATATGCGGACTGTGCCTCGAAACTTTTTGTAAGGATGGCCAACAGAGACATAGTTACATGGAACGCCATTATCAGATGTTTTGTAAAGAATGAACAGCCAATTGAGGCGCTGAAACTCCTTGGTGAAATCAACAAAGATCATCTACGAGATAAAGTATCTCCAGATTTCATTACAATGCTTGCATCTCTAGAAGCCTGTTCAAACTTAGCATTGTTGCAAGAGGGCCAAATAATACACAGCTATATAACTAAAACAGGCTTGCTCAATGATATTTTTATCCAAAATGCTTTGATAGAAATGTATGCAAAATCAGGAAGGCTAAATTTAGCAGAGAATATCTTCAACGAAATGCATGAGAGAGATCTGAGCTCCTGGAATTCAATTATCGCAGCCTATGGTATCAACGGAAATGGGACCTCTGCACTACAGATTTTTGGTGACCTCAAAACATCAGAAACCTGGAAACCTAATGCAATCACATTTGTCAATATTCTTTCAGCATGTGCTCATGGAGGATTGGTGGAAGAGGGTTTTGCAATATTCAATTTTATGGAGAAACATTATGGTATAAAACCGAGTATGGAACACTATGCTTGCATTGTGCATCTGTTGGGAAGGATTGGGAGACTTAAAGAAGCCGAAGATTTCATTGATAAGATGCCAATAAATCCCGGACCGGATGTTTGGGGGGCTTTGTTGGGTTCATCTGTACTCTTTGATAACATTCCAATGGCTGAAAAAGCAGCAAAAATGCTTGCCATTTTGCAACCAACGAGCAGCATTTGGAGGGTGGCATTATCGAATGCATATGCGTCTGTTGGAAAATGGCATGAGGTAGCAAAGCTAAGAACAGAATTGAGAGGATTAAAACAGTTCAGGAAGGAAGGAGGATGGAGCAGTGTAAATGTTGGAGGACACGAATTCAGCTTCATGGCAGGCGATACACGGCACCCAAATAGTGAAACAATCTATGAAGTTATAAATGGAATGCAGAATCATATGCAAGATGCTGCTTTATTTGATAATAGAGTTGCATTAACTAGTTAGAGTTGTTCAGTAATGGGAAATGTATATTCAGAAAGTACTTTGCGAGAAAAATTATTGTAGGCTACATTTTTTGAACTTACTAGAATACTATCAAGCTTCTATGAGCACTAGTAATTCAGAAAAAAATATCATTCAGTACCCCCACCAAAAGGCGTACTCTTCAAAACTCTGATATCATATCTTCATAACAACTTGATACTGTTTGGCTAAGCTTAAACAAATTACTTATAAGGAATAAGCTCTAAATAAGTAATTTTTGGTTTAGTAAAATATAAAAATGCACTAGTCATTTACTTGTACAATATTTGTAAAAGAGTTCCTTGCTGATAAGGAAATAATCATTGGATAAGTGACAAAAATAAAAATGAATGTCATTATTTAACACCAAAATAAGCACGATGAAGGAGAAAGGAGATATATCTGTCATGATCAAAGACCTTTTGAATTTATTTGTCGCTTGAGTTTCCTTACGTGGTCCAGGAAACATTCAAATTCTCATCTTTCTCTGTCAAATATATAGAAGTTAAATCCTCTCGAGCACCAAAAGAAAAAAATAATAATAATAATAAATAAATAAATAAACACACACACAGAGAGATATAAGTAGAATAAAAAGACTCAAACACGAATTATGGGACCCTTTTTAGAGAGATGAAGAATAAGATGATAAAATAGTTCTATGTTTGATGATGTAGGGTAAATTTCCCGCCACCAAGATGTCCCGCTGACTGGTCCCAGAAGTAAAAAATTGGGACATTGCTGTGCATGACAGTGGTGGATCCAGAGCGCTGGATCCGCCGGGATATATATATATATTTATTTTTATTAGTAATAAATTGAATTTTTATCTTATATTGTTGGTAATTAATTTCATTTACAAACATCTTTGTAGCTTACTTAGTGAAAGCCAGCCTTAATATATTTCAAGTCTTAGGTTTGAATTTTTATTTTTATTCTATAATTTTTACCAAAATTCAATAAGAGAGAGACAATGAGGATTTGAACCTTGATCTCAAGCAAGGGTTGTGGTAAACTAAACCATTATGGTACCTTTTGAATTGTGTAACTAAACTTAACAAAATGATATTTGTTAGGTTTTGATTGTTTTAATGCAAACAATTTTAAATATTCGAATTCACACTCTTCCTTCGAATTATACAAAACTTGGCAACAATATTATTTGATGAGTTCTATTTATTCTTATAACAGAATTATATATATTCATTTTGAACAAAATAATTGTTATATTTATACTTTAGGTCTTGTTCGATTCTTTTTTTTCTTTTAACTACATTTTTCTTTATTCTTTTCATCCATACATTCTTCAATAAAATAATATTACACATAAATTCAAAATTTTTCTTTATTTTTAATCACATGTTCAAAAGTTCTACATCAAATCACCATTCCAAAATGCACTTTTTGCAACAAAAAAAAAAAAAGATACTAAAAGGACTTTTAATATTTTATTGCGGTCAATAGTAGATAGTCAATGACCGCTCGTACTAACTCAAACTCCTGAATTCGCCACTAGGTGCATCATCCCATTCATTAAGCTCCTTCTACACATTTATGCTACAAGATTGACTTTGAATTAATGTCACTTCCTCTTGTTTCTTTTTTCATTTTCTGCTCCCGACTCGTGTTTTTGGATTAATTGCACGTGTGAACATAATGTTACGTGTTGGATCAATTGCACCTGTACGTTGACATTGCAATTTAAAATCACTCCATCGCACTCCTCAAACAAGTTGGAAATAAAGAAATACCTGAATTAACTAAGAAGTGTGTATTTAATTGAGATTTTTATGTTTTTTTAGATTTAAAAAGTTTAAGAACATTTAATGTAGATTTTTTAAGACTCTCTAAAAATATTCGTGTATCAAATTGAGACATTTATAGACTTTTAAAAAGTCTCTAAAAATCACGTGTATTCAATCAAAACTTTTTAGAAATTTCAACAAGTATTCGGATATTCAAATTTCAACGACTTTAGAGTACTAATTTTTAGGCAGAAAGTACTAAAATAAAATCTCAAAATTTGTCTCTTTTAGTCCCAAGATTTTGGGAGACTTTCAATAAAAAATGGAAGATCAATATGTATTTTTTCCTTTCAATATTTCTCTTTCCTTTTCCTTTCTATAAACATTAGATTTATCATTAAAATTTTTTTTCTATCGATTATATTTGTTTCTTTCTGTTATTGTTTATCTCTATTTTCTATGAAAAAATTAAATTGGATTCTTATAAAAAAAATTCTTTTTTTCATTCATTTTTTGTGAAAAATATCTATTTTAATTAAATTATGAAATGTTATATAGATTAATTTATAATTAAAATTTTAATATTTTGATTTTTTATTTATTCTTTAAAAGGTATGTTGTATTAATAATACTAAATATTATATATTATTTTGACTAATATATATTTATTATTTTTTTGATTAACGTCTTATATTATTATTCTTTTTAAAATATTTTTATTAAATGGGGAAGGGGAAATGTAGGATCCACCATCTCCTATGTGAGAATTTCACACTATTACGCTAGATTCATGTGAATTATATTTCAAATGAAAGTTTTCAAAAGTCATTTGAATTATACAAAAGTCTATTAAAAAATTAAAATGAAAGTTTATAGAAGTCTACAATAGACTTCCACTAATTCCATACAAATCTATAAACATTCACGAAATTCACAAAAGTCATCACTTAAAAAAAGTTCATTAAAGTCTTTAAGTCCCAATTAAATACATCCCTTAAATTAGCCTTTCTTTGAACCTAAAGTTCGATGCACAATTTTGAGCAGGCCGCGGCAAGGCACGATATGTACTTACATAAAGCATTACAATGGAAGGTACATATAAATGATAATATAAATTATTTCAAGTCGAGAAAATGTCCATTCTTTGCATAAATATGATATAAGAATCGAATTTCATATGTTAATTGCAGCAAGTGTTGAATATGATTCATCCTCCAAATGAATTTTAATGATTTTGAATTTTGCATTCCATAATGAATTTTAATATAAAAGTAAAAGCACACGAATTGACCCAATTTCATTAAATGAAGAATCAATATTAAAGGCTTCAATCAAATTAAGAATAGGAAAAATTTCATAAGTAAGAAATTAATTATGGCACATTTTAAAAACAATAAAACAAGTTTCAAATTTCAAAAATCATATTTTTATTAAAAATTATTTAATATTTAATTATTAATTAATTATTTTGGTAATTAAATTTATTTAAGTCACTAATTTATATAATTTGGCCACAAATTAATGATTTAATTTGTCACTTATTATTTTTTGGTCATAAATCAGAAATTTTATGTCACAAATTATTTTATGCTCACAATTTATCTTTTTCATTGGTCGCATATTATTTATTGATCACAAATTAACCAATTTAATGGTCACAGTCAACCAAAAAATTTGTGACCGTCATCAACATTTACGATTCACAGTCACAATTTTTAGGTCACGTATTCAATTGTGAGTCAATTGTTACAATTTTCAAGTCACGTATCCAATTGTGAGTCACAAGTTAAACAAACCGCCACGACCATCGCCATGACCACCAAAATTGCCACGATCAACGGTGACTCCCAAATTGTAAGTTACAATTGGGAGTCACAATCACAATTTTTAGTCACGGGTCCAATTATTTGTTACAAAATCAGCCAAACCGCCACGATCATCAAAACCATCGCCACAACCACCGCAATCCACCACCACAACCACCATCGCAAACCAATGCAAAACCACTGCAAAACAATACAAAACCGTCGTTGGTTTGCAACTACAGTAACCACCATCACCACCAACCCCAAACGCCACCACCATCAACATCACGACCAGCATCACTACCTCCTGTACCAAAAGACCCAACCACTGCACCTTACACAATAGTCAACAGGGCAACCACGCACAATCACCACTCCCACAGCCCACGACACACACACAATACCACCACATCACAAGCCACGACACAACACAACCACAACACACAGCACCACCAACAAAATAAATAAATTACTGGTAATCACCACCACCAACATTACCAAAGAGCTCAACCCAAGACCACAAACTACTGTCACAGCACCTATACTTACATCAATCTCGCAGTCAACGCCACTGCAAGTGAGCGACAAACGCTCAGATGTGCCAATCTTACAGTTGAGGTGCCAATGCCCTTCACGTAGCAAGAGAGAAGATGGGATAGGTGGAGGAACGGCATCGGTCTTCTCCCCATAGCAATCGTTGGCAGCAAAACAGTCGATTAGGCGAGCCTCACTATTCCGACCACCGGTTGCTTGTCCGACGACGATAGGTTCTTGTGGTGTGGTGTGGTGTGGTGTGGTGTCGACTGCTTGAATTGAGGAGAGCGGAGAGGAAGAAAGGGGTGAGATGTAGAGAGAGAAAATGAAAATAAATTATGGTTAATTAAATTTGTATTATAATATTTAATATTCAATTATCTGATTTTTGAACACTCAAACCTTCACTATGATTTTAGAAAATTGATCTTGAAAAGTAGGTAAGGGTGTAATTTCCACTTAAGATTATCAATATTTGGAAAAAAGCAAGGGCGGATTTAGGGCCGAGTCGAGCTGTGCTACAGCCCGTCCCTTCAACCCCAAAACTAATTAACTCAAAAAAATTATGTGTGATTTTTCCTGAATATTTTCTTGAATCCGCCACTGGAAACAAGGTCAATTTGGAAATTAAAGCGAGTATGACTTTTCATCAAGCTACATGTATACCTACACGAAGAAGAAATTTATTTCTTTAACTAATAATTTGGCTTATCAAAAATTGATGAGAGAAAAAGCAAAAGCAAGAGAATATCATGTTATCAAAATTTTCGAACAGATAATAATAATAATAATAATAATAATAATAATAATAATAATAATAATAATAATTTGATCGATTTCAAAGACAGAGACAAGACAAAATGGCTGTGCAACTAGAGTCCACCACTTGCACATAATG